GCCATCGTTATAATACCATTCATTCGGTTATTTTACTATTTATCTTTCTAGTTCTGAATTACAGGGACAAAATCTTAAATCTAAACTCAAAAATTCGGACTTTACTTCACATTTAATCGCTTATTACCCCGCTAAATATAGCAACCTACCCCTCCAAGGCTAAAACTTTTTAAAAGATGTCATCTGCAGCTATTCTTATATTATCACACGTGTCTTAATGTGATAATGGAATCGATTATCATTAACTGAAGTTGAAAAGGAGACAAGAGCAAAAGCGAATCAAACAAGAGGGCTTCGTTTGTAAAAGGAAAGTCTAACCCTCAGGGACGAATATGACCGGATGTCTTTATCAGAAAATTTGTTTAGTTTAAAACTTCTTTATTCCCATGAAATTATTTTATCTGTCTTTTACTGCACATTAAATGGCAATTGCTTTATTGATAGCACATTCTTCGGCATCTTGCGAAATACATTGTAACAGACTTAACAACAATACGTTGAACATGAAAGTTGATGCGATTTCCAAAATGGAAAAAAAAAAAAAAAAAAAAAAACTTATAAAAGAATTTGATTAAATTCATGGAAATTGCACTACTTGCAATTTTAATTTGAAGACAAATAAAACATTCTAATGCAGTATTCTTTTTTGCTTTAAATTTTTGTATAAAGCATATACAATTTTTTCAATGATTTTTTTAAATACCAAAAAAGAAATGTATTCCTGTAAATCTTCGCTAAGAATTGTTAACCTGTGGTCGCATATCAGTAAAAGATTCTAGTAAAATAATACAAAAACATTATTATTATTTCTGATTACATCTCTAAATCAAATTTTTAAACTGTAGCAGAAATACGATAATTTACATCCTTGGGACCAAGGATTGCTCGGATTAAAAAACTTTGTAGATTATAGGTCACATTTCTTTTTTCTTTTTTTTTTTTTTTTTAGTTTTACATAAATATTCGAGTTGTTTACGTATATATAATTACTCAAAAGGTATTCACTTTATAAAAATTATTTAATCAAGATCTAATACCATTTATACACTGACTACCTATAAGTATTTGGACACCTATGCAAATGACGATATCTACTGTCATAAGGTTCGTCACGGACTCTGCCGGTATATATCGTGTAGGGAACAGCATCGGCTTTAGTCGCATGCAAGATGCCTCGCAGTTCGGAGCTCTCTGATTTCGAGAAAGGTGTAATTATCGGGTATCACAAATATGGCCGATCCTTAAGGAACATATATAGCGATCTGAAGTACCCAAAATCGACAGAGGCCTATGTGATTAAGAAGTGGAAGGTGAGCGGTGATTGTCGGAATGTGCCCCGAGTCGGCAGACCAACGAAACTGGGAGATAGAGACCGACGAGTGCTGTCCAGAGAAATTCGGAAGAACCGCACTCAACCGATGGCCCTCATCCGCGAGGAGTTTCAACAGGCATCCGGGTGTATTGTTTCAATGAATACCATCCGTAAGGAAGCACATCTGCTTGGTTTTCATGGTCGTGCTACTACCCATAAGCCTTTGATCACAAAGTCCAACCGCGCTGCTCGGTTAATGTGGTGCAAAGCATATCGAAATTGGACCGTAGATCACTGGAAACGGGTTCTTTGGAGTGACGAATCAAAGTTCACCATTTACCGTTCGGATGGCAGGGTCTGGGTCTGGCGTCTACCTGGAGAACGTCTCCTGCCAGAATGCATTGTGCCAACAGTCAAGTTCGGCGAAAGTGGAATTATGGTCTGGGGGTGTTTCTCCTGGTATGGGCTGGGACTGTTGGTCCCCATTCATGGTAAGCTCAACTCCGATGCCTACTGCACATTTTGGATGACAGTGTACTTCCTACGTTGTGGCAGTTTTACGGGTTGGACCCCTGTTACTTTCAGGATGACAATGCCAGTTGTCATGTTCGACGTTAACCAAGGCTTGGTATGGTGCCAATGGAGTTCATCGAATGGACTGGCCTGCCCAGAGTCCAGACCTGAACCCTATCGAGAACCTCTGGTATGAGTTGCATCGCCGAATTCAGGGGTGCACTACCCGTGCAAAATCGGTGAAGGAAATTCTGTCTTCTCCAAGCCGAGTGGAAGAAAATACCACTAGCTGTCATACAAAGACTTGTGGAAAATATGTCCCGGAGGGTCCACGCTGTAATTACCTCTCGTAGAGGCTCTACCAACTGTTGATTTTGAATAAAGTTAGTTTTTGTTTTGTATCTCAGGTGTCCAAATACTTATTAATAGTCAGTGTAGAAAATACGTTTTGAGGAAATAGCATTGCACCATAATGCTCGACGCATGTTAATATAGAATAAATAACTTCACAAAAAAATACTAAATTGAAATTTTTGATTTGTTAAAAGTTGCGAACTCTTTAATTCTCTTTCCTCTTGAGTCTAAGAAAATTTTTAAAACTATTTTTCAGAACCTATTCTTCATTGCCGCCAATATAAACAAGCTTGCTCTAGCATGGAATGTAAAGAAATCAGTTACATGTTGCACTGAATTTGGAACTCAGAGTCGTAAGAGTTGTAGACAAAACGTTCATTACATTATGCTAACCATATATACTAAAAATTAATCTTAAAAAATCAGAACATGCATACAAGAGCAAGAATATGTCTTAAATGAGAGGTTTGCATAGAGATTTACGATCACTGCTTTCTATTCAAAGAAAGTGACAATGCACATGCAGAAATTGCTAAATAATTTCGATTGGAAAACAAAGTTATTTTCTCAATCAAAATATGGTATTTGCACATACATATAAGAAAAATAGGTACTTAGGTATTATCCATGAAAAATTCTGATGACTTCCTTCGAACCATGCAAATTGCCGTAGATCTTGCCGAAAATGCGCCAATAGTTCCTGCGAAATTCTGAAAGAACTAACGGCTCTTTATTTTACAAACAATCTGTAACCGACCTCCCACCCCTTCGTTTTTGCGCTTCGTAGAAATGGTTTTCGTTGTTTTGTTAAACCCTAATTTTTTATCTGAAGTTCTATTAGAACGTTATGAATACAAACTTCCTGAATGTGAATGCTCTAATTTATTATTCTTTTGTTGACCATATTATTTTTTATGGTAGGATTTCATAGCTTTGGAAATAAATATATTGATTGCTGTTCTATATATAGAACGGCAGGTCCCAGATTTTTATATTTACTTTTTCAAAATGCAAGAAAAGTGCAGAAATAACATTGAATTTATATTCTTGTTCATGAAAGCGAAATCTGATTACCGAGAATCAGTCGAAAGAGCGCATGGTATAAGTGGGTTTAAGTGGTGGTGATGTGGTGGGGTGAATTTAATTATGGCAAAAGCACACTAGGGCTATCTGCCTAAGGGGAGGGACACCTTCGTGGAGGACTTTCTTAGGGAAACTGGCTCGTATACACGTTACACATGGGGAAAACCACGAAAATACCCATGCAGCTAGCCCGTTCGCGGGATTCGAACCTCAAACCGAATTACCAGTGCTCAGCGACTTTACTGCTCGGCCGCTGGTGGACAAGTAGGGTTCTAAGATCACGCTTATCCATAACTGGACTAAATCGCGCTGCTTGGCTACCTTTTCATGGTCGACTAAATAATACGTAAATAGCGAAAAATATGCAATTAAATTTGTCATCTTGAAGTTTCTGAAAGTGAAATTTTGTTTGCTCATACTCAAAATTAAGAGCAGATTACAGACATTCGTGTATTAATTGGCCGCGGGTTATCTGTTGTACACTGTTATTTTGTGGAATTCTACTGCATATTATTCTTTGGAAACCGATTATCATTTTAAATCGGCAGTTTCTAGACTACATAGTTTAGTCCGATTTCTAGAATTTTTGACGCAAATATAATTCAAGAAATTTCATAATTCATTTTCACATTCTAAAAACGAAAAAAAACATTGTTGTTTGGCTCTGAGTTGTAAAACATTGATATTATTACATACTGCGATTTGGAAGAGATCTCTTAAATAATTACGCAAGATGAACAGGAAAAATTGGCACATTATTGAAAGAAACAACTTCTCGTACAGCAATATAAACTGCAATAAACAGTTCAAGGAGAAAAAACGAAATAAATCAGATTTTCGTTAAACACGCGAAAAATTTAGCAGATTATCAAAATTCACTCACAGAGCAAAGTTTCAACCAATAAGCAGAAGCTCAGTAGAGTCCCATAGCTTTGAAGTGAACTATTTAGATAGCCAGACTAATTAATTCTCGGCTCCAGAGCAGTTTCTTTATGGAGCTGCCAAAGAACTTGGAGAAAAATTTCACCCAGAGCTCCAAAATTTCCAGAGTCTCGTTGACAAAAAAAAAAATTGGTAAATGGATGAGACCCACCAGGAACGTGTCTGCTCATATCTCAGTTTCTAATTTTGATATATTTAGTATTCGTGCGACAATTTATTTAGAATTTTAAGATTTATAATGTAAAACACGAAATGAACACTTCTAAGCCTAATAATAATTCATCGATTCGATTAAACAAAAATACGCGAAAACATTACAAATGAATGATTTAATTAATAAAAACATACTATTAGACTGGTTAAAAAAAACAAAATTTAAAATTATGAAATGTATAAAAACACCAAAATGCATTCAAATAAACACAAGTATTTGCATAAATTTACAATGCCATTAAAGAGAGGACTAGCAAAGGAATCTACCGAGTAATGAAAACAAAGTAACAAAGGGCAAAAGAAATGCGATACCCGCTTTTATTACAAAAGCGGAAGAATGATGGTAACAGTACGTTGTTTATTATTACTACTGTTGGTACTATATTCGCACTGCATTCGAATTCACCATTTTGTTTTAAAAATAATAGTACAAAGATGCGCTTTCGCTCAGCTTACAATACTGAAATCTAAACGTCAAGATCCAAATACTCGCTTACTCCTTTTCTAAAGCATTTCTGTAATTTCATCTCAGAGAATTCCTGAGTTTACTAAATGTACAAAGCTTGAAACCTTTTTTTTGCAGATGTGTCCCCAAAAGGAGGTATCACAGCAATCAAGACAACCAGAGACACCCACAACATCACAAGACAACCCTAGTATTACTGCAATTAACATGATACATGATGTACGATTATCGAAGTTATTATGATGTATATTATGTCACGTTAAGAACCCTGTACGGCTCTCTGGCTGAGAAGAAGCATGCCTTCATGAAGGTTAGGTTAAGTTACTCAAATATGGCAAAGCCACGAGAGCTACCTGCTTAAGAGGAGGGATGCCTCGCGGAGGCCTTTCCAAGAGAAACTGGCCCGTATTCACGTTATGCATGGGAAAATTCACGAACAACAACCATGCAGCCAACCCGTTTGCCTGAGATCTTACAAGCCAGGTCGAACTACTATATATTTTTTATATTCCTTGAACTGTTTATTGCAGTAGTATTCAGCGGTCTTAACCACTCGGTCACTATTGCGGCCTTCATGAAGGATTTAAGAGAAACTAACTCAAATTCATGTTATTCGTAAAAGAAATGATATAAACTGCCATACAGCCACCTGGTCACTGACTGGAATTTAGTCGACATGTAAGTTGTTCAGTATTTTTAACCTGTCGAGTACGGATAAGCAATTTAGAGAAAAACCGAAGGCTAGTTTATTCTCGGTGACTGCAATTTAAATGCAGTCTATTACATTGTATAGAAACGATAAGAATCGCTGAGCAGCTTCTGCTAAAACGGATGTAATAATACGTCAAATACTGCTTCTTTTAAAATAGATACCAAATTATACGCCGTTCATTACCTTTGAGCGTTGATTATCTTTGAGTCAGCTAACACCGTATCTACAAAGTTCACCGAAATGCTTTCATTTGTAAGTAACTAAAAATAAAGTATCGTTTAGAAAAAAGATTTCTGATGTTAAGAGATTAAGTGAGGAACATTTATATGCATTCAGAATTCAAACAACAAAAATCAGCGTTATATTTTCAAATTTTCACAGGACTAGTTTCGATGGTTTTACCGAACCACCATCGCTAGCTGCAAAAGCGCAAATTAACGAAATAGGATACAATGATCAGATAAGATAATAAAACCTGAACAGAAAATAAGCTAGTGGCGCCATCTGTTGAGGAAACCAGAACTAAAACATAATTCCTTTAAAGGCCGAAGGCAAAAATGGTTTGGAATTAGATCGTTAACTAGAACAGAAAGATTTTTTGAATGAAATGCCTCTAGAAAATCCAGTTCTCCAATGGAAGATATTTTTTGAATAATTTTGGCAGCAGAAAAATTGAAAGTGTGATTTTTAGGACCAACACTGTTGGGCAAATAAGACTTCTGTGTTTCCTTTTTCTAACATATGCCTCATTTCTTGACGCGAAATTTTAAGGCTCTCTAGTTTGGCCAATGTAAATTAAACCACACTGTCAAGGAATCCTATAAATACTCCAGGAATTCATATCCGGAATGGGGTCCTTGTCCAAGTTTTCTTATCTTATCTGATCACAGTATCCTATCTCGTTCATTTGCGCTTTTGCAGCTGACGATGGTGGTTCGGTAAAACCATCAAAACTAGTCCTGTGAAAATTTGAAAATATAACGCTGATTTCTGTTGTTAGACTTCTGAATTAGTATTTGTTCGGCGTGTTATTGTGTCTTAATTTATATGCATATTATATTGAAAAATATTGATCAACGTAATTTTGTCAAAATCGAGATCTTATTCAGAGAATTTTATAGAATTCGGTTCTATAAAACACTGAGAAGTTTCAGTATTGGTACATAACCAACTCTTAGTTATTTGCATTAATTAAAAATAAAAAGTATTTGTACTTTAATGAATATTTTTACAATTATCCAATTCTAACTCTAAAATAATAATACTTCCTGAGAATATTTATAACTTATTTTTAGACTCAAAACTTATAAATTACTTATGTGAAAATTCTTTCGGCATATCAAATGTAACAAAACTGTAAATAAAGACAAAGAAATCACTGAATAATATTTAAGGGGGTCAAAATCCGCCTCAAATTGTTCTAATTTATATACTAACCGACCCCTGAATGTAAATTCAGAATGACATTGACATTTAATATCTAGGAAATTTTTTTGCCATACGGAAATCAAACTTTTGTGTTTCATTTTTTATAATGAGTATAAAATTTTCTTAAATAAAATACAGAAACCAGAGGAATGTGTAAAAAGTTAGATTTCGTAATTTACACATTTTTTTTTTTAATTAAATTTAAAAACACGAGAACTAAATCTATACGTCATTTAAAAGCTTTTTGTGATTAAAAGTATATATCTTCAGCTAATAGTTGCGGAAATAAAAGGTCTGGTAAGGATTTTAGCGGACACGGTGTATATTTCTCAAGAGTCAGAATTAAATTTTAGGCGCGGCTGATTTATGAAGATGAAGCATATGCTCGGAAATAGTAGTCGAAATAATTTCCTAGTAAATACACTGAAATTAAAATTCTAATATATTTACACAATACCGAAGCATCATCCATGTTTTTATCTGATTAGCAGGCGATTCAATTGAGATAGAATTACGCGTTTATAATACTGTTCTTGACAGCCAGCCCTAAATGGCAATCAAAAAGATAAATAAATAAATAAGAAGTAGCGAATGCAGAATTATCAACTTCGTCAACTAGGCCGATTAGCAAGATTCGCAGGGCGCTGTATAATAAATCTTTAACAAGCACTGTAAGTTATTTTTTATAAAGATGATTGTAAAGATAAAAGGAAAGATAAAGTGGTTAGGGGAAATGGGTAGAAGACAAAAGTCAGATTTGTCCTTTTTAGTCTTTTTTCCTCTAATCCTTTTATATGGAATTTAGTCTATAATGTAGTGCACAACACAAATGTAATATATGTTCTTACGAATCTAAAAAATACCGAGTGAAGCAGAAACTACAAATAACGAAAGACGAAACATTCAATGTCGTTTGGGTCTAAAATGGCACCCATAAAATGTATTCATACATCACATGACGTCTGACCGTTGAGGCTTTTGCGTCACCTTTCATTTTCACGAGCTGCGAGAAACATCTTTATTTCGTTCGTTCCCTAGGGATATTTCGTCTCCAGTGGCTTCTGCTGAACTTGGCTCAGGGACAAGACATAACGCATGATTTGCAAAGACGGCAATTGACATTGAGATACATCCGCAAACAACTTCAGAAAGGTACTTCATCATCTGGAAAGAGTTGCAGGAAATGAAAATCTTCAAGTTCACTCCAAAGGATTTCAGTTCTTCGGTTCGGCAAGATGATGAGCAGTGTCACTTATAGTTCAGGATTTCGTTCTCAGTACGGAAACCTCTTAAATGTCTCAAATCATCTTTATACTGAACAGGTAGAATCAAACTTTTCATATTTTAATTATTTTGCATATTAAAAAGGAAATGCAAAAATATTTATACCGTAATTCCTCTTTAATTGGAATTATCGTTTATTATTGTCGATTTCAGCGCTTTGTTGAGCATTCAAAATCTCCATTTTATCATAAAATAAATGCGAGTCAAACATCTTTTGCTCCAAATAAGTTTCATTTTTACAGAATAATAACTACAAATTTTTCAATGGAAAAAATTCTTTTGTTTTTAAAAAATACTGTAACCTTCCGAATAAACAGCCCTTGTCTTACAGAATAAGTTTTGTATAATGCAGAATGCGACAGAAGAATTACTATCACAAGCCACCAGAATAAAACAAACTTTCTACGGGAAATGCGAAACGGAGAAGGTGGTTACAGTGCAGATAGCAGCCGATGTCGCTATTTAAAAATTATTTTTTATCCACAACAGTACGTACGTTACTCTGGAATATATAAACATCGTTAAATGATCCATTAAAAAACTGCTAAATAGCAATTAATTATAAATTAACTGTGCATCCATTTAGCTTTTGTTTCTGATTGGCTCCTATCAAAATAGTAAACAAAACCCTCTTTTGTTCTCTCTTAATGTATGTTCTCTACGTTTTGGTTGCTGACTTAATTTACGTAGCTAAATTAACTTATTATGCAAATTAAACTGCTTAGGGATACTGGCAAACTGCTAATAGTATTTTCTGTTTATTATAGTAGTATATGTTATTCCTTTATCCTATGTATTTTTAACTGTTCTCGAATAACCCGTGATTTTGGTTTAACAGTGGACGTTGTCTTTTGTAATCAAAATTGTCTTCGCACGTGATCCTGATTAATTGGATGAATGTATCTCAGAGATGCAGTAGCATATTCCATCTTTTCATATTGCTCTGAAGATTTGTTCCAAAGAATAATAAAAATAGCATTCCCAATAAAATATTAAATTCAAATACTTTATTTAATTTTGGTTAATGATTGCATTAAGGTTAAATGGAAGAGACATACGGCAATGTAAAATCTAAAATGCTAAAAAAAAAAAAAAAAAAAATTTTTTTTTTTTTAATCTTATTTTTTAAGTAACATTACCGATTTTTAGGATGATTAGAAGCATGTTTTTCTCTTTCAGAAGCACAAATAATTCTGCTTCTGAAGGAAGGAGACCTGTGTCCATCGCCCTCGAAATCAGTAAAATTTATTCAAAATCTACTCCACACCAAAATCTCCTTTTTTCCTGATTTTAAATGCATTAAAAATCAGAGTTTAAATTTAGCCAAAGCAAAACGGAGGTCTAATAAGACGAGCTTAGTTACTTTTGTGTGTGTGTGTATCTGTAGCTTAATTTATTGTAATATTTGATTTAGCAGTTAATAAAACTGATACTGATACTTCATTATGAAACATATCTCGCTTTCTCTGAAAAAAGTAATTTAAGCGAGAAGACTTAAAAAGCAAAGTTACTATGTCGAAATGTAATTTCTTCAGGAAGTGGAATTTTTATGAGCTGCAACTTGGTAGGCTTAGGGTGTTCTTATCACGTCAAGAAAACTTTAAATGGATTAGAAACCAAAATAAAAAACGAATTTTATCTTATCGCCAATTCTGTTTAAAATATCTGTTTCCATCCTACATATCCATAACATATTATTATTAATTTACTTACTTTATCCTTATTTTTACCCTTTCGCTTTTGTAATTTGTGTGATTTTCTTTGTTTCATTTTTACTTGCACGAATTCTTGTACGAAGTAAAAAGGAAGTATTGTAATCGCGAAAAGTTTAGGCAGCATATTTCAACGAAAATACCCATTTTGACCGCTATCGAATACAATTTAACGATGTTTTTGCGTGATATTTGTACGTAAGGACAGAATAAAATAATCTTTTCCTTCAAAAAAATTATAAAACTGCTTTAAAATTAATTCTGAAGAAAATTTTTCCTGGCGTCTGTACGAAGGTATGTACGTACGTACGTATCTCGCATAACTCAAAAACGAGTAGCCTCAGAACGTTGAAATTTTGTATATAGGACTGCTATAACATGTAGATGTGCACCTCGTATTTTGGTTGCAATCGGCAGCACTAAACGTATATAAATATATTTTTTATATATATCCACTCTATTACTCGGGTCAGTGATCTCAGTTTTCTTTACTCTTATATATGTTTGTAAATTGTACATTTTTTGCTTTAAAAATGATTGAATTATGTTGTTCTTATCTTCCGGTTAAGGATTTTATGCCTTTAGTAAATCTGTGTGCAATATTTTTTAGAATTATCAGCAATTTTAAAAGTTTGTTTAAAATTGCCGATAAGCCTGTTTTTTTAATGGCGGCCATTGATGTTTACATTTTGAAACAGGAGACTAGTGGATTTGTTGCCAATCTAGAGTAACTTAGCTTCGCAACAACAAAGATAACGCATTCATTTATTATTGCCAATTAAATCATGCATAATTCTTTCTGGAATTTTTTTCGAGTAAATAAGCGTTTTGAAATTTACTTCGTAATTTTTAATATAGATTTTTGAGTTTTTTATGTATTTTTTTTTTTTGCCTTCTCGCGAAGTGAGAACTGAATTAATTAAATGAGAAATACTCAATCGTCTGTGAAAAACTGTTTCTTTTTTTTTTTATTTCCTTAATTTATTTTATACATAGTTCTAGCTTTATTATAGTATTTGAATAGAACATGTGGCAACGATTAGATAATTCTTTAAATGATATACATTTTGTGCATTCTTGAGTTTATAATATGAATGAAATATAATACTGTTAAGTAAACCTAGCGCTGAGTGTCGCTATGGTAAACAAAGTGAATTTTAAAGAATGCATTTATTTTATTGTGGTTTATGCGCTCTCGGCGAAGTAGGTTTAATTCAATCTAATAAGTTTAAATAAAATGCAAGAAAAAATGCGTATAATTTAATATTCCGTACAATGAAGTCATGTGGTGTACACATCAGATTTTTTAATAGATGGAAATCCTTTAAAACTGTTGAAAACTTCTGGCGAGCGCTGATGGCAGCAACATTCGTTGTTGATGAATTCACTTGCTTCCATGCGAATTTAATTATTTCTGTGCAGTGTCTTATACTGAATTTCTTCCAAAATGCGATTAGTGTGTTGTGCCTTCTTTCGTCTAGTGCTTTATTGTTTGCCTGGCATAAAGAATTTGAATGTTTTTATGATTCTTTTACCCATTGGTTGAATTAGGAAGTGGTGTTCGATGGAAGGAACAAAACCTCTACATTTGGATACAATATTGAGAAGGATTCAGCACCGTGGTCCCGAAGTTCTGTCGAGAATTACACGAACATTAAAGCTCAGGTTTTAGTTTTCTAATAATATTTCACTTCTTTAATAAAGAAATTTCTGCGGCCAACGCTTTGCAGCGCATTGCGTATAACTGAAATTCTCGCTTTGGACAGATTAAATGGAGACAAATAAGAAAACACTTATCCGCAAGTCCGCGTTCGGCAAGGATTTATTATATAGGATAATGAGGTGACAAAATGTGAGTAAATTGGAAGAAAACATTAGACGATCTATTTTAGAACTATCTAGCATCTTCTGAAAATAAAGAAATGACAAAAATAGGCAAGAATAAAAGCACGATACTTTTTTAAAGGCTGGTAATTCATAAGTTTCTGGAAACAGCATTTAAAATAATGTTCATTACCATTTTAAAAAGGTTTAATCTTATTTATACTTATTTAAGTTTGCTCTTATGCCTATTATTATCTATGTTTTGAATATTTCGTCAATGAAAGAAATACGTTATATTTAATATGGAATTAATATTTTCACTGCATTCAAATGCTAAGTACGAGTCAGATTTTATGAAGAATTTTTTTTCACTGCTTCTTATAGCCTAAGCATTAAATTGTATTATTAGTTTTATTGTATTATTAGTTTATTTTATTTATCGATTAATATATGTTGCTTAATATATTCTTATCTCTCGGATATCGAAATTAAAGCCAATAATATCTTAACATATATTATAATTTATAAAATTGTAAGCTTACGTTCTTCATCTATGTTTATCAAAATTGTTACTTGAAAATATTATTTTGTGAGGATTTATTTGTTTATTTTACCCCTAATAGTTAAAACAACTTCCCTTTTCACTCTCCTTTTCGCCACACTTTCCTAGTAGAACAGCGGTTCTCAGCCTTTTGACTAACTAAACCGTGCCATCTAAACAAAAATTGAAAAACTGTAGTACTAGCATTAAATTTTACAATGATTATTTTTCAGTTTATCAATAGAAATATTAAAATATATATATATTGCTATTTTTACAGCCTGCTGGCTATTTGTATTAACTATGCACACATAAAAATATTAAATTAAAAATTGGTAATTATTTTAATTATCAAAATTTAAGTTATAATATTTTAATTCTAAAATTAATTATTGCTATTTTTTACACAGCCTGCTGGCTATTTGTATTAACTATGCACACATAAAAATATTAAATTAAAAATTGGTAATTATTTTAATTATCAAAATTTAAGTTATAATATTTTAATTCTAAAATTTAGTGCGAATTTTTGGCTTGTATAAGAGAGATCAATTTCTTTATGTCTGGTTTCATTTCACGAAGTTTTAACCGTAAATTAGTATCCACTTTTAATTTTCTTCTGCATTTATTTTTGAAATATAACATGGAAAAAAATCCTTGTTCAGACAAATAAGTTGGGCGAAAAAGGGCAATAAAAATTTAATAGCTTTATTTGAAATGCCTTTAAATTCTTTTTTTAAATAATTTTTTAAATAATTTTACAACAGAGAAAGGTCTCTCTTTTCAAACTCTAGCTACTTCATTATTTACTATGTCGTTAAAATATATTGCGTGAGCTTATCATCTAGTTCTTCAACATTAATATCATTGATATACAAGTAAATAATTTTTTTAATTTATTTCAACTGTATCATCCCTTAAATTTTTTATTAGAAGTACATTTAATATTTTTAATGTTTTTATATTTGTATTTCGTATCAATTTCGCTACAAATTTTGCCACAAATGAGATAGGATATACACATCTTAAAAACCTGCTTGACTAGTTAAGTTTGATATCTTCACCTGTCAAAGTTCTAAGAACAAATTAAAAGGAAGGAGAATCAAATGCTCCGTAATTTAGGCTTCCGTCGGCTGACACGAGAGGTTTCGGTTTTACACTTCAGATGAAATCAGACCTTCAGAATGGCCCTCAACTGTTATACAGTTTTTGAAGGGGGAGGCATTCCCTTGACCGTCAATGTACATAATGAGAAAACATAGCTTCCTTTCCAAGAATATGTCTTTAGACACATCGATTTCTTCACTTTAGTCGAACGCGTTCTAAATTAAGCAGCAACTAGGAGAATCTAAAATTTCCTAACCCATCAAGAAGTTTGCTTATTTAATTCAATGTGCAAAATATGCGAGGGCTATCTGCTTAAGAAGTGGGATGCCGTGATGGAGGACTTCCTAAGGGAAACTATTCACGTTACACATGTATGGGAAAACCACGAAAACTCTCATGCAACCAGTCTGTTCACCAGAATTCTAATCTAGATCCAATGAGCAACGTTCAGCGGTCTTACCCATTAGGCAACTGGTGGGCCTGATTAAAAGGATTAAAAAGTTAAAATGGCAAAAGGTGAATAAACACTGTAGATTGATTATCACTGTATTCTTCAGCCATGTCTAGATTAGTAGTTATCACATTCGTCTACAATCCAGAAATGAGATGGTCTAGATTCGAATGTTAATTAAAATACGTCTTTATAACATCTACATTTCTCGTAAAAAAGAGCCTTTTGCGTGTTATAATTGGGCAATTGAACTTACATATTAAAGTTCAATTCGTCATGAAGCAAAAAGTAGCTTTGATATTACTTAAAAACTACGCTAGTTCTTCGTCTATCCAAAAAGTATATTTTTCTTTGATCTGCCTTCCCATAAATTTGACTAGTCTTTCCACAAATAAGTTGCTTGATCAATTAATAACAGGTCATGTACAATGCTAGGATACTTAAATGTATTTCATAAAAAATATATAAATTGTAACTGTGGTCAGTCAAGCTAAATTGCAACTGTATATGGGATTATCCTTTAACAAAAGGTACATATGGGATTTTTCTTTAACAAAATGTATTAAACATAAAATAATATGTCAAAGATAGAATTCTCTCTATGAATAAAAATGCTACATCTGGCATTATGTAAGTCACACAGAATTTACATAAATACAAATATTTTACTCTTTGTTACTTAATGATTGTATTTGCGTACATTTATAAATATTCAATATATTATATTTGCTTTTTGTTTGGATATTGTTTGGCAGTCAAATAATTTTACTACATATTTTGTTTTGATACACAGTGGGTCATCTAAATCTGTATAATCCTTATAAACATTCTGTATAACTAAATAATATACTCTTGATTTTATATTTGTTGCTTAGTTACTATTACGGGTAATGTAAATAAAAGGAAATAATGAAATATAAACAAAATCTTGTAAAATTAATAATGTTGAATTTATTTTTGAGTTTTTGTTATGTAAACAAAAGCAAATATATAGAATTGAATTTATAATAATATATTCTATATCATATTATTATATATGTGTGGTTGTGTGTGTTTATATAATATAAGATAAAATATATATAAATCAGCTTTATAATTTAATTTAATAATAGCCTCTCAATTCCTCATTTTTAATTTGGTTATTGCCCCTTTAATCTAAAAATAATAACAACATTACTGGGCTACGTCATTTCTAGATTGATCTATGCCAGAGTTTACGTAAAGCTGATGATGTAATTAAATTGGAAACTAAACTCAAAATTTCGAGAAATGAAACTTTTCTAACTTAAACCAAAGCCTTCCTCTTGGAAAACTTCCATAATGGATAACTACGCACTTTAGCTTCTCGCTGTGCGCTGCTTGGATGCAATTTGGCTGTGCCTATTTCCAGAACATTTACGCAAAAACGTAAATGGCAAAAACCTTATGACAAAAACGTAAATGTTCTGGAAATAGGCACGATTAGATTGCCAAGTTGAATTGTGGCCACAAATGTCAATTTAAATAAAAATTGTATTTAATATTACTCTGCTTCCAAGTTTCCTAATCATTACGGATTCAAAATTTCAGCATACTACGCAATCAGAATTCTCCCTGTTCAATTTGGACCTACTACGTTCTGTGAATTCTACGTGCTTAACAATCGTTATTTCTGCGTTTCTACATCTCAGTTTTCCTACATGAGTACTTCTAAAATTTGCTTTCATTATATATACACTGACTACAAATAAGTATTTGGACACCTATGCAAATGACGATATCTGCTGTCCTAAGGTACGTCACGGACTCCGCCGGTATATATCGTGTAGGAAACAGCATCGGCTTTAGTCGCATGCAAGATGCCTCGCAGTTCGGAGCTCTCCGATTTCGAGAAAGGTATAATTATCGGGTATCACAATGTGGCCGATTCTTAAGGGACATATCTAGCGATCTGAAGTACCCAAAATCGATAGTGGCCTATGTGATTAAGAAGTGGAAGGTGAGCGGTGATTGTTGGAATGTGCCCAGAGTTGGCAGACCAACGAAACTGGGAGATAGACACTCACGAGTGCTATCCAGAGAAATTCGGAAGAACCGCACCCAACCGATAGCCCTCATCCGCGAGGAGTTTCAACAGGCATCCGGGGGTATTGTTTCAATGAATACCATCCGTAAGAAAGCACATCTGCTTGGTTTTCATGGTCGTGCTGCTGCCCATAAGCCTTTGATCACAAAGTCCAACCGCGCTGCTCGGTTAATGTGGTGCAAAGCACATCGAAATTGGACCGTAGATCAGTGGAAACGGGTTCTCTTTGGATGACGAATTAAGGTTCACCTTTTACCGTTCGGATGGCAGGGTCTGGGTCTGGCGTCCTACCTGGAGAACGTCTCCTGCCAGAATGCATTGTGCCAACAGTCAATTTCGGCGGAGGTGGAATTATGGTCTGGGGGTGTTTCTCCTGGTATGGGTTGGGACCCTTGGTCCCCATTCATGATAAGCTCAACTCCGATGCCTACTGCACTATTTTGGATGACAATGTGCTTCCTACGTTGTGGCAGTTTTACGGGTTGGTCCCCTGTTACTTTCAGGACGACAATGACAGTTGTCATGTTTCAACGTTAACCAAGGCTTGGTATGGTGCCAATGGAGTTCATCGAATGGACTGGTCTGCTCAAAAATCCAGACCTGAACCCTATCGAACCTCTGGGATGTGTTGCATCGCCGAATTCAGGGGTGCACTACCCGTGCAAAATCGGTGAAGGAACTTCTATGTCTTCTCCAAGCCGAGTGGAAGAAAATACCACTAGCTGTCATACAAAGACTTGTGGAAAGTATGTCCCGGAGGGTCCACGCTGTAATTACCTCTCGTGAAGGCTCTACCAACTGTTGATTTTGAATAAAGTTAGTTTCTTTTCTATCACAGGTGTCCAAATACTTATTGGTAGTCAGTGTAGTAGTATATAGTGTGCATGGTCAATGCGGAAGCTTCCCACGGAAACTGCAAGAGCGTGTTACGTGAAGAAATCTCACTACGATGGGGTCGTGATGTAGGAATTAGTGGAGATATCCGTAGCCTAAGTGAATAACCAGTTTGCACACATAACTGTTGTCGCCTGCTTTATCGTACCTGTGGATATTAGAAAAGGAAAGTTGCGTATTGTAAAGAAATTTAGTATTTATTGTTATTTTCATCCGCTATGGCATAACTTGTAATTTTTTATAATTGTATATTATTTTATATTAAGCATTTCTTTATCCTGAACAAAGGTGCAGATAATCCTTTTCGCGAGGCCAATAGATTTACCCTGAGAACATGCTATCCATTTTAGTTTAGTTTACCGGTTACCCTTTGATTTAGTAGTTCTTTGGCTCCCGGTTTTCCAGTTTGTCGGTACGAATCATTTTGTTAGGTTAAGATTTCTACAAATAGTAACCTTTCTAATACATTTTTTTAAAAAAATCATTACCAATTTCAAGAATTCGAAACTGAAAACTAATAATTGATCTAGCTGATTTTTCTAAGCAAAAAGGCTAAACAGGTAAAAATCATATATTATTCAATATTTGGTTTCCAAGTTTTGCATAAAATAATGTTATTTTTTTCATGAAACGGCAACTTTCCATTTGCAGTGCATCATATTTTGTTATAAATATTTTTTCTTTGTTTTTAGAAATCCGATTTGATTGAAAAAGGCGATGATTTTGCGCTAGAATGTCTTCGAAGTCATAATCGTTATAGAGCTCAACATGGTTGCCCTCCATTACACCTTTCTGCTGAGGTAAGTTTTGAAAAAGCTATTTTTGATTAGAATATATCAGTTTCAGTGCATGTATGTTGACAAATCCATGAAATTAGTAGTTGTTCTTGTAGTAGTTGTATAAAATAGGTGGTGATAAGGGTATTAAAATCACATAATCAATAAGGTCATCTTCCATCAAGTAAAATTAATGAATCCCAAACCATAATATCAAAACGAATAACTCACATTTAGCAAGTCAAAACGCAGTGTCTTTTGCTTAAGTTTTACTAACAGTTAGCTTTATGCAGATTCTTTCCTTTATGTACTTTGCTCAGTTCAGAACTTCATGCAAATTTTATGGCAAGTGATGTCAGTTAAAATGAGACATGGACCTTGTAAGAGACTAACCCAGTGGGCGGGGCTCGCGTCACCGACATGTCGGCAAGAATGAGTAGGGACGATCAGGTTTACCTTAACACTGAAACCTATGGCGTTTGTATCACATAACTCTTTTTAGTTATTATATGTGATACGTTGTATAATGATGAGATTATGAAAGCCACAGTTTTTCCCAAATAGGATTTAATATATCTCATTAAAGCACTTTTTTTAAGCATTTCGCGCGCATTTTTTCACGCGTAATCCTTGTACAAACCTCTTTACTTTGGTAAAACGGTAAAAACTCTAAGCACAAAATTTATGAACTTAATTTTGCGTATAAATAACGTAAAATTAAATAACATTGATAGTGTGTGATGCTTTGAAATAAATAAGATAAAATTAAACAAGATCTTATAATTTTTTTAAAATTTAATGACCATTTTCAGGCAGTGATTTTTCAAAACTATAACAACGTTACAAAACAATCATTTATTTGATTATATCACCATTAAATTATTAACATTAAAGTGGAATATTTATTTTAGTAATTTATAAAATTCGGAGCATAAAATTTTCTGTGTAATGAAGGGGTAAGAAAAGGCAAAATAAAATTTAGAAGCATTCAGATTTTATATTACGCCCAAAAGGAAACTTTTTTTTAACGTTTTGTGTGTTACCTATATTTATTGAATATCATGTTCTTCGCCCGTAAACCGCATATATTTGAAAACAGCATATTTTTAGAATTTCCGCACTCGAGGTTAAAATGTTATTTTCCATACTGTGTTACCATTGTTCGCTTTGGATTCGTTGCGTTTGTTAATCAAAAATTTGTTAAAGTTTTACAAAATATAAAATAGATTAAAACAAATTCGAAATTCGGCCGTCCAGATGCCCATGTTCGGGTGGAGGATTACATTATTCAAAAAATTGATGGCTCTAGAATACTACCGTCGTTTTTGTCACAGTGCGAGAAACATACATGTATTCATGTAGATTCTTTATTATTTAATTTCTTTAAAAATATAACACAGGGCGATAATATTTGGTAACAAAACAATTTGCAAGGAGACACGGACATTTATAGTGAAACAAAAAGCGCAAAATGTCGCTTCGAACTAATAAATTAAATTAACAGTAAATAAAAAAAATCTTATCGGAACTAAAATAAATTTAAAAATAATCACTATAAAATACAATCAAAATTAATTATTACGGTTAATACAAATTTTAATATTGTAAAATTAAATGTATAAAATTTAAGGAGCCAAAAGTGTTTATCACTATGATATATTTATGAAATATAATTGAAAATAAAATTCCTTTACAGAAATTGTGCTATAATACTTATCTATAATTTAAAAAAAAGCAGCACAAATTTAGAATTTTAAAAAAAAAACAAAACTGTTTCAAAATTCGTTTTTTTAAATATTTTAGTATTTTTTTACTTATTTACACCAATAAAAAAATAAAATTGGCAAGAAAAAATTGCTTGTTTGAAATTTTCTATTAGTTCAGATTTAAAATATTATTTTCTAAAAGAAGTAGTTAGAATTTTCCTTACAGCATAGGAAAAGCTAAAAAAATATCCAGCTCTGAAAGCATGCAATAGCTTTATAATTATTTGGAACGTTAATTATGCTTGATAACTATGCTAAATTTTAAAAATCAATGTCAATTTCAAAAATAAAAAATATGTAGAAATTCTAATTTGTGAAATGAGGCTCTACAACCAGCTTTTTCTTGACAATTATACACGCTGCAATAAGCAACCACTGTTAAATTTCTGCAAGTCGTCCCTACTCCTCCAGATGTGATCAAGGTGACAGCCGGGAACGCCTCAGACGAGGGAGAAAACGCATTTGGGTTAGTCTATTTCTTATAAGGTCCATGAAATGAGAAGAGAAATCTTAACCGGCATGATTCGTAGGCATGAATTTAGCTGTTGCCTCCGCATCTGCTTGCCTATAGAGATAGAACTACTGCAATATTATGTTTTTACAAAAAGATAATTACATGAGCAAACAAGGCTGTTGAAGAGAGTTCATTTTTTAATGAAGAGACATCATTATGGTGGTATTTTACAACTAAACGGAGTACTGCAGTACATAAGGTTAAAGATACTTAAGGATTTTGCATTACGTATTGCATAAGGATATTGCATCACGTAAATGTACAAATTATATACAATATAATATAGATGCGCAATTCAGTGCCAAATTTATTATACAAGTTATACATAGCTCTAGGTTACATAATAAAGAATGAAACGATACTTGAGTAAATACGCTGCTTGTAGACATTGATATGCAGTTAGATACAAATGGAATCAAATATAAAACTATAGAAAAGATTATATATATAATACAAATAGGACTGATATAATTTTGTTGCAACATATAGACATAGATAAATGCGTATTACTTATATGCGTGAGGATTATTACGCGTTGATGCATTATTACTGCATAGAGCAAATGCAAAAAATCAATACAATAGTAATTCATAGCAATGCACATTTTTATTCATACGTTAATATACTACTTTAGTCCATACTACTTTAGTGCAATAAAATACAAATATTTACAAATATTTGCAATAAAATACAAATATACAAATACTTTAGTGCAATAAAATACAAATGATTAAATATTTATACATAAAGCTAGATAACACGAATGAAGTGATATTTGATTGAATGTACCACATAATAGATACTGATAAAGTAAGACATTGATTAACTATGCATACAGAATGATATAAACACATACACAGATCACGATACATTATTACTGTGTGCAATATATTGCGCTATTACTTTACATTAGGGTACAAAAGTATAGTACAAATTATGTATATACAGTTACCAACAATACTCAGCACTGGAATATACAACTAAAACATTCTTGCTTTAGATAGTGGTCTTAAGGAATACTTATTAAACTTAAAGGAAGAATACCATATTGTTATGTGCATACGGATTCGTAATAAATTGAATGCACACAGAACCGATGATAGCTTGATGACATTTATTTTTCCAAAAACACTTTACAGTTCTGCAACTTTTCACAGAAAAGAACTCGTACAGCTCTTCTCAGTATAACACAGCACAATCACACTGACAGTACACTTTGAATGTTAAACACAACGCAGTGTAAAACGCATCTAAAAGCGCAGCTAGCTAGGGGATCTTTCTGAATACTCTGAACTCAACTGAAAACTGATACTTTCTCTCTGGTCTTACAGAGTTTTCCCCGTCCACCGAGAAACTTCACGTACCTTAGATTTCTCGAAATTGCTGGAAGCATACATAGATGCAGGCGTTTATTATTACCTAATTCGATTTATATTAGCTCTAAAGTTAAATGAAAAGAGGAGGTACTTAGCCAGATTCAAACAGCCAACTGAATTTGCATTTAAGCGTCTGTGGTAATTTCAGGCTCAGCTGCAAAGACCTCCAGCTGCTCCATGAAATTTGAATACCATGTGGTAGTTTCTATTCTGATGAATAAGTCTGTTTAAGTAAAATTGATTGATTTTATGTAATAAGAAGTCATAGTACGTAGGAAACAACATCAGGTCAACACTAAACACCTACAACGGAGACTCGTCTACATGCATGGAACTTCAAATTCATTCTACAATTTGAAATTTCCTTATAAAATTTGTTTTTTTTTACAGACTTTTCGTCTTCTATGCTTTAGTTGGTACACTGGAAAGAACAGCAACGGTAAAGATACCGATATACAATTTTACTGACCCTGAACTGAGATTTGCTAAGTGCGAGTCAATTTCAGCTCTAGAATTTCGCACTTCTAATAAATCTAAACTTTGCCATTCATTTAATACATTACAGTTTGAAAGGGAATTCGGTTTATATCTTTTTCTTATGATCATATGGTCCAGCAGAGCCATATGGTGATGGAAAAAACTAATTTTCGATTCGGTAATATACTTGTCCACACTACCAGTACTATAATAATTGTCCACGTTGAGGATGACCCGAATCTTAGGCCCAATCCAATTTTTGCAGATTTTCATTACTATTCAAAGAGAAGAATCGGACGATATTCATTTGTACAATCATTAGGTTATCATGATACAGGAAACATGAAATATGTGCAGTGCCCTCCTCGGGATTCGAGTTTCGGACTTCCCGATTACGCTTGGACGTGCTTCCAGTTATACCACGAAGGCACGCGGAAAGGAAAGAGAAAATACCTAATAGATTCTAGAAAAATATATAAGAATTACTACAAAAATTTACACTTTTCCATGTCCTTCTGGTTAAACATACATTAAAATTTCAATTCATGTTTTCTTATATGTTTATTGGAATACTTCTTTAGCTTTTAACCTCATTCTTTTGCGGTGAATCAAACTGCTTGTGAATGAAACATTTCTCTTAAAATCATTCACAACGAATTATTGAAGAGGCTAAATTGATAAGGCGTAAGGATGTGAAAGTAAATTTTAGAATTATAAAAGAGAGAAACTGATATATTTGTATATGCAAAATACTTCAAAATTTTTTTTTTTTTTTTTTTTTTTTTTTTTTTTTTTTTTTTTTTTTTTTTATATTCATGACTTTTTGCTCAGGTTTCAGCATTCTCGCAAGAGTGGGCGGACAAACTTGCGAGGGAAGATCGAATGTACCACAGTCATAACCCAAAATATGGAGAAAATTTATTTGTCACTTATATGAGCGACAACTCCCGTCCTATGGCTAAAGGTAAATTAGTTTTCTTTAAACTTTCAATAAGTACATATTGTTATGTAAGTTGTTTCACTTGTAAGGAAGTCCCAAGTTATATCCTTTGTTACAGATGTAATACCTAAGGCAAGCAAATGTAATTGTGGCAGTACGTGCTTTGAGAAGTTCCCAATATATCACTTTACAATAAACGATTAATGTAATCTTCCTTCTTACAGGACCTTGGTACAGAAACTGTATCTTCACGGACGTTTCAATGAGCTGTGTGCGACTGATACCAATTGCTACGAAAGTTTTCTGTGGAATGAACGTGGTTCCATCGACATGAAATTTACCGCGCCGTAACTCGAATCATTCAATAAATTAAAAAATGAATTAAATTACTAAGAAATGGTAATATTGAAATACACCTCTATATTCATTATCGTTTCAGAAAAAAAGAAGGACTTCAGAGTTTTCAACTCCAAATCACTCTAGATCTCAGTTCACTAAACTTCTTCTTAAGGAGAATGGTTAACTAAGTGATTACGCAAAACATGGCTTGGCTGTCCGTTTTAGAAATATACGTCGTTTAAATCTTTCCGAAAGAAGTGGCTCATATTCACTTTAAACTGCGTATGTTGGGTTCACTGATAGGCTATTTACAGAGCGTGAAGAGAAAGATTTACGCCCTTGATGATAATTGTTTTTGGAATCGACAAGTCAAAAATTTGGAAAATATTTAATAAACCTTTGCTGGCTCTCCGAAAAAGCAAAAATAAGTCTTTATACATTCATTTATTTAAAACAAATATTATCTAGTCATGCATAACATTATGCATTACATTTACAAAATGTTTCTAAAAATAAAAATAATTAAAAATGATTTTTTCTCAAGAAAGAAGCTGCAAAGTTAATCAAAGAATTCAGGAAAACAAGCACTGGGTTGAACTGATACAAAGCGAATATTTGTTATTGGCTGCTGGTGAACGCTGGCATGTCACATTCAAATAATTGAGATCTCTTGCAAACAAAGAGTATTAGTTTGCCAAAGAACGTACTGCACTGGATTGCCAATGATCTTATACTTGTAGAACGTAGAATCTGCAACTTCCTTCTCCCAGGCATAAAGCACTGGCAACAAATTTATGTTCCATGTCTTTAGAAAGTAACCTCCACATTCAACATGTATAGTGAAGTGAGCAGATTACTATCTTCGAATAAAGAAATCTTCTTATATTGTGGCATTAGACTCTAATTCTAACCAGTCTTGATATGTATTTTAGTAAATTGATTCTAATAAGTAACTATAGTAAGATAACAGAGTTTCTAAGGTGCATACCTTACATATTATATATGCAGTGAACAATAATTTGGAGATTTCTTAAAGTGAAACACGCTGTATGAATCGTATGATGTAATTATAATATACAGTAAAGAATTAGTGGCAAAATGAATGTGTAAAAATATTGCAAGTAAATGTTTAACTGCTAACAGCTATGAATATTTAAATCATACTATAACAAAATTAAAGATTACTGACGAAATTAAATATTATCAATAAAAAACGTATTTTTTAACGAATAAAGACGACAACTAAAACCGATGAATTTTTCAGTAATAATATAACAAGAATTCAAAATTTCCAACTAGAAATAAAGATTATTATGAAAAATATTTATGAAAATATGAAAGACAAAGTTTGGTTACTAATATTTCCATGTTTTCCGAAAAATTCATAAATGGTTGTAATCAAATATTGTACAATATTACACCAATAAAATCAGCAGTAATATTAAAAATTCCCACACAGTTTGCAACAAAGAATTAAACTTATAATAATCTATTTAGAAACGTAAATCTTCTCCTGTGTCTAATGCACGCAATATTTACAGCACTTTCACCTTTGCATTTAGAACTTCAGAAAATAATTATTATTAAAATTTTGGAAATAGCTTAACCTTTCGACTATTAACTATTGTCGCTACTGTAAAGAACCATAACCGAATTTTATGGTGTAAAAAGTTTCTGCATTCTAATTTCAGAAGACTTTCGCTTTTTATCATGCTTTAATTGAATTTTATGGTGTGAAAAGTTGCTGCATTCTCGTGTCAGAAGAATCATGCTTTGCTAATGCATACCTTTCGACTCCATAATTCATGCAAAATCCATTTCCCCGTTCTGCGAATACACATATAGTGGAAAAAACTTCATTTCTCCAGCCTAGGAACAGTTAAGAAAAGATAACTAACAAATTTGCTTGAAAACCGAAGTCAAAAGATGCTGATAGCATACTCATAGCGGCCGAGCGTTCCTGATCGCTAGTAATTCGAACAGGTTAGCTGCATAGGAGTTTACCTGTAACGTAGATATGAGCAGCTTTTCTTTAAAAAAGGTTCTTCACGGCATACCTCTCTTTGGAGAATAGCCTTGTGTGCGTCACCATAATAATAATAATAATAAAGATACTTATAAATGTTAAAACATTTATAAATTTAATGCTGGCGTTAATGTTAACGCAACTGATAATAAGCAACAAGACGAAATTTTAACACTGATAACAAGGAACAAGAATAGCTGTAATTAAAGCAAATTATCAGGTCTCGAGGATTAAATGAAACCTTCTTCATTAGCTGCTTTTCGTTTATTTTTCAGTAAATAGATATCGCTAATGGTTTCATTTCGTAACTATTTAGTTAGCAAAATCTTGAAGTTTCCTCTTTTACTCTTACGTGGGCTTCTGTGGCCCCCCCCAATCATCTTCACTTTTACAGCTGACGAAGAAGGTTCCATTTAAACTTCAAAACTATATTCCTGAAAACAAATTGCGCTGCTTATTACTACTGCTTTTACATTTAGATATTAATTTTTAAAACATCGAAGATATGAAATTTATAAAAAGATCATCCCGTACACCTTTAAAACTGCAGTCGGAAGGTACTTGAAAATTTCAGAATATTAAAAAAATTATTCGAATGGAAGCATGCTTTTGAACAAATGCATCCACAATTTTGTTCCATAACTACTAGACATAAAAACTGTTCACGGTGCTTTTTAATCTTGTTTTTGCTAAGGTTACAGAAATTACTCCTGTATAAAAATGGCCTTCGTAATTAGTAAGAAATTCTTATTGAATGCTGTCAAAATTAGGACGATTTATGAGATGATCGAAGGGCCATAAGCAAACCTGAACCATAGATCGTTAACTTCTAACACTGCAAAGAGCTACAAATGCAAATTAAAATTAGGATAAGTATACAAATTGGATATTACGTTACAGTAGTACTGTGTCTCTAGAACAGAGATCCCCAATCTTTTTGTACCTAACAGCACATTCTAGAATATCCGTTGAACGGCGGGCATCATTTACTTTTTCAAGGTGAATTTATAGTTGGATAGAGTTAATATATGTAGATAAAAAAAAAGAGAGAGATCGGTCGTATTTCGCTTTGTGCTCTATCTGTGTTGGACGCAATTTCTATTTCATTAAAAATGAGAAAACTCTCGCATAGAATTTTACTGAAAGCTAAAACATTTTTATTGTGATCGCACAGCGGCGGGCATACCTTAAACAATCGGCGGGCGCCATGGTGCCAGAGAGCCATAGGATTGGAAACCCCTGCTCTAGAGCAAATGAGCTTCAAACTGTATTCCTCTTTTATTTCCAAGTAACTTTTCTAGGGTTTCTGAAAGTGAAAATCAATATTTAAAAGATTTTTGAATCTCTTGAGGAGCACAAAACTTAGCTATATAAAATAATTAAATATCCACCCTTATATTTCTATTTCTATTTTTACCTAAAACAGTATGAAATAAATTTTGTTTTTCTGAGTAAAATTGTAAAAAATAACTTTTCTTTGCACACTGGCCATAAAGGGCGAACAACAGTAATACATTTTCAGTGTTTCTTAATACATATTTTTCTGAAGACAGGTTCCTCGAACAAATTCTAGCTCTAGGGATTATACAAAAACATTGAATTTTAGCGACTCCAAGTAAAAGTATAATTTTAGGGATTCCATGAAAGAAATTATAGTTTTAGGGATTCCATGAAAGAAATTATAGTTTTAGGGATTCTACAAAGTAAAATATAATTTTACAGTTACCACGAAAGGAAATTACAGTTTTAAGGGGCTGGGAAAAGAAATTTTTAATTTTAGGGCTTCTTTGTGTCGACGATGTTTAAAGACTACTGCTATAGATTTTTCTTAGCCTACAGTCGTAGGTATTAATTTTCATCATTCGTTTGGTGTTTAACAAAAGAGGCGGGGAAAGAAAAGTAAATTTTTGTAAATTGCTATTGCTATTTACTAAATAAGCATATGATTTAAAATTTTCAGGAACTGAAGTGGTAGATTCGTGGTATTCAGAGCATGTATTTTATCCCTACAGTGGACAGGTTACGAGAGAAATAGTCATGAAAGCAGGTATGTTGAATAAAGTATTTAATCATTAAAAATTATGATTATTTTCATCTACTGCTTTCTTAAATAGTGTGAGTGTGATTATGGCAAAGCCTCGAGGGCTATCTGTCTAAGGGGAGGGATGCCTTCGTGGAGGACTTTTTAAGGAAAAGTGGCTCGTATACACGTTACACATGGGAAAAACCAGCTTTCTTAAATAGAAAAATATTTTAATGAACAGAGATTTACCTGAAAATGTAAAGGTTACTAAATTCTGCTGTATTTATTTTTCAAAAAGACTATGCAATGAAGTGGTTGCAGACACATAGTTTCGGCTTTAAAAAAAATCAAATAAGGTAAGCTTTCCGATTATGACTCTTTTGATTATGTGACATGTTTGAGAAAAAATACATGAAAATTAATTTTCTGTAAGCACCCCCATAATGAAAAAAACAACTGTTGTAAATTATAGCAAATACTATATACTTATTTGTGTGTAATTTATTAAAATGCTATTTACCTATTTATTCATTTATTATACATATCTTATTCAATATAATTTTCGATCTTACTCTGTTTATAAATGTTTATTTTGCATATCATGTTGCAGATCTTCTAATTCTAAATCGATCGACGTTTGAACTCTTAATATAGTTTAAGTTGAAATGTAAATACTGACAGGAACCATCCTACCGGATTTGGCGACAATGTTTACCATTAATTTTTGTCGCTAAGCTTCATTTTGCGATTTCTAGCCAACCTGGAGACTTTTAACACGCATTTTCGACGAGGCCCTAGGATATTTTTTTCTAAAGCTTTAAGAAATGCCTCCCTTTCAGGAATACCTATAACTACCGGCAGCGTTGGATCCATTAATCAGTCAGTCAGTTAGTTCAAACCAGCGACTGTTTTGCTACAATCTCGCTCAGTGATTACCCCCACCAGTAGCCGAGCGGCAAAGTCGCTGAACACTGGTGGTTCCAACCTGGTTCGATTCCAGGCGAACGGGCTGGTTTTCGTTGTTTTCCACATGTGTAACGTGTATACGAGCCAGTTTCCCTTGGAAAGTACTCCACGAAGGAAGCAGATAGCCCTAGTGTGCTTTTCCATTTTGAATTCTTAATAAACTCAAATTTATTTCAAATTTCAAATTTGAGTTCTTAATAAACTCAAATTCTCAGTGATTACTGCTTTCGATTTTACTCTGGGAGTAATTTTAGTGATCATCGCCTATTAAGGAGAATTCGCCTTGTCTCTATTATTTTTCTTGGAGTAGTTATAGCTGTTTATCTTACTATGAAATGTTATTTATTTCAATAAAGGTCCAGTTCCTTCCTTTTCTTCCGGTTTAGTCATTATTCGCTAAGAAATGATGACACTAAAAAATGAGAAGAATGTTTCTCACACCGACATAGTAAAACAAAACAAATATATATATATATATATATATATATATATATTTCTCATACAGTCAATACATATCTATATTATATGTATATATATATATATATATCAATACATATATATATCTATAATATATAAAGTCTCATCATATAATATATATATATATATATTCTCATACAGTCAAAATTAATAAAAGTGTCCGTAATTAAAATTTGGGGATATTAGGTACCATAATTAAGTATGACAAACTTCCTAATATAAACACTTTTGCAGAACAAACGGTTTTAGCTTCTCTTCACATAAATATTAGCATTCGATATTTTATATTCCACGAAATTTAAGTTTCTTTCATTTTTAAAATCAAAATTTTCGCATTGGATGAAAGTGATTTGAGCCATATAATTTTTACAAATGTTCATGATCAGTTTTGTATATTACGGACTAAATGTATATTTTGCTTTCATTACGCATCTAAGAAACCGTGACAACTCTCCTACACTGTAACTTAAAAAGCAATAAGGTTCTTAAAATTTTTTAGACCGGTCTATGTTCGTTAAATAACATGTTTAATTTTTCATTAAGAACATTCCCCCTACGTTCAAAATGCAACTAATTGCTTGGTTTCAGATCCAGAGTTAGTCTAAATTCGGGTTTTCTCAACTTTGGACTTGTTTATGTATTAGTTATGTTCCATTCTAATTTTTGCTTTAAGATGAGAAATGTGCGATTCTTCCTTTCGCTTCAGCAAAAGGTATGATTACCAAAAAATTATAATTTCCTTACAATATTAGTGAAAATTTTGAAATATTATGATGAGGGAAACTTATACAAACAATAAAAAGGTTCATTTAAAAAGGTGGATCAGATTTTAAACCATTATATTGTGCTTTCCTAAATCCGTTCTGCGTAACGTATTTACGAGACAATTTCCCTTAGAAAACGTTCACAAAACCAATCTTCCCTTCAGGCAGATATCCCTGGAATGCTTTGCCATAATCAAATAAACCAAATCAAGCCTAAATCAATTCTATTAGACTTTACACTCGATCGTAGGGACAGGCGAAGTAATCTTGGACCATGTGCAAGAATTTTGCTTAGAAGTAATGACGCCACCGACTTTAACCTTTTGATTGTCATCAATGAGCTTAGTTAACATTTCAGGTACGCACCTCAGTGGGCGCAAACGAATAAACTTGCATTACAAATTTACGACTGATGGATATCGCGCATATTTGGAAAGAATTGCTTAATCTCGCAACCGCCGAAGGTTTAACCAAACAATTCGTATTGGTACGTTGGCCTATTTGGTAAAATTTCAATCTAACAATAATAAAACAGTTTAAAACATTATGAGAATTTACAGAATGTGACAAGGGGCACGGAGTGAGCAAATCTGATTGGCAAAATGCAGCTGATCGCCTTTTGCATACAAGATTACCACAAACTCTTTGTTTGTAATAAATAAATATATGTTTAAAAAATTCTCTGAAGATTACAATAAAACTCAAAGGGATAAAATGATGCATGCCTATGCGCATAATAACGTAAACAGGTATTATAGATGCCATGAAATTTCTTTGTATTGTCTCGTCAATCGCGAAAGTTAGCGATCATCGACCCATGAAAATTGGTGAAGCTCCCCATCTAACTTGCGCTAATCGTTTCTGCGGGATTCTGCATTTTGCGCTTAGTAAAAACACTTTCGTTGATTTCTACTATTTTATTACGTCCTCCGATTTTACTGGAAGCACTATTTAGAATTCTGTGAGTACAAGCTTCTCGTAGGTAATTGTTCCAATCTATTAGTGCTTTGTAAGCCTTATTCAGCTGACCAAATCGTCTCCATTAATACATACTGTTTTGATGGTAGGGCTCCATCAAAACAGTATGTATTAAAAAATTTTTGGTACTTTTCCGTTTTGCCGGCGCAAGCGATATTATCGCCAATAATGGTACAATTGATGCCAAACGGTATATCCTCGCTGGTAACCTTTTACGCCTCATTTTCAAAACCATTCGCAGCCATTTCTTATCAGATTGATTGTTTCTTTCAATACTAGCATACAATTACATAGAATGTTTGCCAGATAGTTCCACTTTTATGCCCTAAGGCCATTCGCGTTAATTAAGTAAATTAGGATGCAATCACACCGCTCACCCGAAGGCGAAAATATAGAAAAGGCAAAGGGTTAAATTCATCAATTCTTAATGAGAATGCACTAAAGAAGTAAGGCACTGCGGTTTTACATAATTTCAGAGTAAGCTATTCATACGAATAGAAATAATTCTTGCATTTAAACTTGTAAACTAAGATTTAACTTGAAATTAATGTAAATAATTACTGAAAGAATTAGATTTTGGTAGCGTAGTTTACGTTGGATGATATCACTTGGAGTCATGTGATACGAACCGCCGACTTAGGATGTTGAACCATGAAAGCATAGTAAATTCTTAAATTAATGTCTTGTCACAAATTTATTGGCTTTTTACAAAATTTTAAACGCTATTAAAATGTTTATGCCTTCAAAATAAAAAATTCTTAGAATTAACATTTTTTATGTGTGTACTGCATTTTGTCATCTATAAAGTCTGCTTGGCGAGATTTGCGCCGGTGAAACGAAAAAGTACCTACTTTTCTGCTTGCTGTTTCTATAAAAGGAAGGTTTCGAATTTTAATCTTTTTTTTTTTTTTTTTTTTTTTTTTTTTTTTTTTTTTTGACAAAATGCAAGGGAAGAAGTAGCGGTACTTACGTATTAACACAACCAGGCCAAAATTCCAAAATTCGCATAAATCGCCATTTGGCGACCCTACTTACGGCAACCCTAGTGTTATGCGTAGTTTTCGTAAAAAGAATTTATTTGTAAAAAGAAAAATAACGCTGGGCGTGTACTACTCACAGCAATGGGTTTTCGACGGAATTTGCCGGGGAAAGAAAGAGACTTTTTTGGTTACTGTACCTAACAGAAGCGCCGTACCCTCATGTAAAAATTTGCGAAAATATGAAAGAAGGAAGCATCATTTATTCAGATTGCTGGAAAGGATACAATACAAGTGAGTTCGAAAATGCGGATTCTGCTGGAACTGTTTAATCACAAATATAACTTTGTGGATCCCAACACGGCGTTTTCACACACAACATGTAAGCGCATGGGGCTCAGCCAAATGGACAACAAAAAAACAGAGAGGAAACGCCCGTCTCATCTTGACTCATACCTTATCGAATTATATGACGCGAAGCTCAAGCTGTTAATGGCGAAGACGGTTTTCAATCAGTGCTAAAAGCAATAGCCAAAGATTTCCGCCGAAAAAACATTCTGCAACTTATTCAATTCGAAACCGGAAGGGGTTTAATTGCTATTTTATATTTTAAAACAAATAATATAAAAACTGTATTAAAAATTATCTGTAATTAATAAATGTACATTTTCTTTCTATTCATACTTTTTTACTCAAACTTACAAATCGCGCCAACCTGGTTGCGATAATACGTAAGTACCAAAGTAGCAATAACAATTAATTTGGTACTTACGTATCATCGCAATTACCTTAGTAGAAGCTCCAAATATTCAGAATGGGCCAAACTGTGGCAACCTTGCGCACAAGCATTCTTCCGGCAACTATGCTCATAACAATCGTTTCAGTCAAGCAAAGCCCCCATTTTCGTACGCGGTTTTGTTGCTGTTGTTACTGTATTCCTAGTCTAAACGGTTTATAAGCAAATCATGACATTTTTTGCCTCAGTTTAAAAGTACGAGATTGTAAAATTTGCCATCACTGGAAGAAACTGCTGTTAAATTTCTGCGATACTACAGAATTTTGCTGAAAACTTTTAAAAGGGAACACGAAGAAATGCATTTCATAGGTAGTCGCTGTTGCCAAGGATTGTACGAATTCGAGTCTCCGCTATTCTCTGACGTTTTTTCAAGCGAAAATAGATCTCTGTGTACCTCGAGAGAAGAATAACTTCAAAAAAATTAAAGAAATAGTTTAAAAGAATGTAAATGTTTTATTTTTAAATGTATCGCTTAATTCTTTATTTAATAATTAAAATTTGTACTTTAAATTGCTAACGTATGTTTTCTTTTCATGTGTTAATGATGTTTACCGACTTACGATAAATATTGATTTTTTAGGAATATCTCTAAAAAAAAAGGCGCGAAAACCAACAACTTATTCCCGATAAGTAGCTTATAAGGTATTTCTGCCGCCTTCCTAGCGTGCCTGCGTAGTGTGGTGTTTTGCAAGCTGAGCCGGTATTCCAAAGGTCCGTGGTTCGATTCCCGGTGAAGGCGTTGCTAAATTTTCATCTTTTTTGCTTCCAAAATATCCTAATGTCTCTACAATGGCGCCCGAACTAAAAGGTGGTGGATGATGATTCTCCTCACCCAGGATTTGGCGAGTATATAAGGTATTTCTCCCGCCTTCGTAGTGTGGTGGTCTGCACGCTGGGCTGGTATTCCGTGGTCCGATTCCCGGCGAAGGCGTTGCTAATTTTTATCTCTCCTGCTTCCAAAAAAATCCTAATGTCTCTACAAGCTTTTTCCGTTTCATCTGTAAAAAATCGCCAGATTGCGCCAAGGTAGTTGCATTAATACATAAGTATCGTTAATTTACATTCCTTGTTCATAAAAAAAAAATTTTCAAGAACTTGACTGATCGAGAATCAATTAAGGTTACATTAAACGAAAGCGAGATGTTATAAATGCCTTATTACGTCAGGGTTATTCATAATTAACACTAAATCGCGCTGCTTGGCGACAGTTCACAATTGACAGTATCATACGTAAAATACATGTAAACATTCTTAAAGCTGTAAATTATAATTTTACGTAATCTCATATAAGTTAGCTTTTGTTTACTTGCTTGAGTGAAATTTTGAAATAAGTTTTTTGACCCACTTCTATCGAACCCATTTTCCTTCATTTTTGCTCATATATGTATTTGCTGTAAATTTACAATTCACAAAGATTTTTCTCAACGTTTTATGTAGAACATCTCTTACATAAGATTGAAGCATTTTTTGTAAATTTTTCACATTCTTGTTTAACGATGAATTGCGGAATTACGATCTTTACACAGTCGGAGAGAACGGGAAAATAATCAGTAATTTTCAGTTAACGTAATTCCGCGCGAAAGCATCAATGTGATAATCTAATTACTTCACCTTACGATCAGTTATAGAATGACATCATTAGTAATAAGAGGGAATAATGAAGACTACTGCCTGTTGATATTTTCAATTACTTTTTTGTTAAAGTGCTGATTAAAAAATAATGAAAAAAAAAAAAAAAGAAAAAAAGAAAAAAATTAAGAGGAAGAAAAGAAAAGGAAATCGATATGGATTATGCGATTTGACCATTGCCGGATGACACAGATGCGCTACTAAATTTTTCGAAACAATGATATCATTCATATTGAGAATTTTCGTGTTTCATATTCATATTTGTTTTGGAAAGTTACGAAGTAAAATTATATTGGTGCATGCATACGAGTTCGTATTAGATTTGTCAGGAGATGTATATCTCTTCACATGTTTCGGGAACATACTGTATCCTGAATAAGAACAGTTAATTTACTGCAGTTCTATTCCAGATTGTGTGGATTAGACGACACAAGCGAAACCCTTTATTTTCTATACTTTACAGGTACTTCCGAACTTCGGGATACAGAGACCAACCACTTGTGGTCTGAACGCAAGAATGTAAAACTACTAACTAAAACTCTAACTAAAAGCTAACTTTGAATTAGTACACAAATGCCTAGCATTAAGACTGGCCTTTAGTGAAAAGGGTACGTATGTAGTACGCCGAGCTGCTGAAACTACAACACGTTTTCAAATATCAAGAGGGGCCCACCAGCGGCCGAGCGGTAAAGTCGCTGAACACTGGTAGTTCGGTCCGAGGTTCGAATCCCGCGAACGGGCTGGCTGCATGGGCGTTTTCGTGGTTTTCCCCATGTGTAACGTGTATACGAGCCAGTTTCCCTTAGAAAGTCCTCCACGAAAGGCATCCCTCCTCTTATGCAGATAGCCCTAGTGTGCTTTGCCATAATTAAATACACCAAATATCAAGAGGGCTAAACCTCTGGCCTTAAAGGCAAACAGCAACCGAGTGAAAACTCGTAAAAACTGCAGTGGCAAGCAGCTTGCTTCCTAAATCTTCTCTCTCTAACTCTTGGCAAAAAGCCACTAACTCGGGCGTTAGCAAGACAATTTGCATACACAAGTTAAGGCATTTAATTCTGGCCGGAAGTAGAAAATAAGAAGTGATAGTACAGTTTTAAAATAAAATAAACGTTAGTAAACTTCGGATCCTTACAGATTGAATGCACACCGAACCGACAATTGCTTCATAAAATTTATTTTAACCAAAGGAACACTTTACAGTTCTGGAACTTTCCAGAAAACTACTCACACAGTTCTTCTCAGTGTCACAGAACAAAATCAGTAATTACACTTCAAGTAAGAATGTTAAACATAACGCAATGAAAGAGCATCTAAATAGCGAATCTCACACGGAGGTATTTTAATACTCCGCAACTGAGAGCTAATGTTCTCTCCGGCCACCGAGCATTATACAGTATTTTCCATTTCTAGAAATTATTGGAATGCATATACAGACAGACAAAGTAATTACATATAAGGGCCGGATGCGCTTACATTTACATATAGGAATCAATTATAATCAATTGGTTACAGAGGAACAGAACCGAACTGTCGCCAAGCTTGCGACTTTTGGCAATTTCTTGTTCAATTTGGCGACAAAAATTAGTCGCCAAAATTATTGCCGATTTGGTGATATCTCGCCAATTTAGAGAGATAGGCATTTATCTCAATGTTAATTAGACTTTTTTCTGTTATCTTATTCTTAAAGCAGAGGTTCTACTCTGCTGGATTCTCTTCAGATTTTTTATTTTATTTTTATTATCTTTATTTTACAAATTATTTTTCATTTTACAGATTTTACCGACTCTTAAGGTTTTTCATTCTGCACTATACAAAAGATACTACAGTTTTAAACATAACTTCGCTAAAATTATTTACATATATACAAAAATTAGTAATACTATTTTCTACTACAGCGAAAGATCGTATTCCAAGAAGGAAGGTTAACAGAATGCTGGGTCAAAGATCCGAACATTCATTTTCTGATAGCTATTCGATTTATCTACTACTAATGGAAATAATTACATGTGCCTATAGTATTTGTAAATTTCTATATTTGCGATTGAATTTTGCATTTTATTGTTTTTAATAAAATAGCCATTCTTTTTATGAAGGTGAATTTATATCGTTAGAATTTGTCATTCCCATCTGGATTACGTGACAATATTTACATCTGACGTCAAACGGTCTGCCGTTAACTAAAAAAGTATAAAAAAATAATCGTTTACATTTCAGCCGGATACTTACTCTGTTATGTATACATTCTTAATTATACGGTTTTAGTTAAACGCGCTAATTTCCTTTATAATTTACTTATCACAACATTCTTATATGTTACTCTTTCCTTTATTAATAAAACTTCTGTAATTGAATCAGCTTATTCGGTTGCGTAAATATCAAAATTACAATAATAACGAGCTAGTTACCTTGGAAACTCTTTAATAAAGGCATCTCTCTTACTAGGCAGAGAGCCTTTGTGTGCTTTGCCATATTCAAATAACCTAACGTCTTACATGCCTTGACAGTGATGACGACAATATTGCCAACAAATTCTTTAAATTCTTTAAATTATTAGAAACAAATTCTTTCAACAAATTCTTTAAATTCTTAGAACAATATTGCCAACAAATTCTTTAAATTCTTTCTAGAGAAATATGTGAGCCATACATTATCATATAAAATTTTTATCTCATTAATTTTTATTCTACTTGATAAATAAATTGTCTTGTGATATTCTCGGTATATTAATGCTAATAGATAAAGCCTTTGGTAACTGAATGTAGAACTTTATTTATTCAAGGTCATTTCACTCAAGTCATATGGAGGAACAGCAAAGAAATGGGCATCGGGAAAGCTGTAAGCAGAAGAAACAGGATTTATGTAGTGGCCAACTACTATCCAGCAGGAAACGTTCTAAATAAGTTCACAGATAATGTTCCACGAAAGATGCATACCAGCTACGACAGCAGAAGATACTCCAGGAGAATATTTACAAGAACACTCGACTTTCAGCATCAAGTCTCATATCATAATTAGTATCTTATCATCAAGTTTGAATAATTTTATATATTCTAATATACGGGTTCCTTCACTAATTCTGGAGATAATATTTGATAAGACATAAATTACCACAGTTTCCGAATTAAAACTCATTTTGTGTTTAGATATAAAGCAAAAAGCTTGAATTTTTATCAAACAAAACCTGAAATATCTGTAGCTGAAACGTACTTTAGAGAACATTCTTAAAAACTGCTGTTATGCTTTAGTTGCGCATCTTCAGAATAATCCCTCACAGGAGACAAAAACTTGGTTTTACTTAATGTAATCAAAATATAGTGTAACTTACGATCCCCAATAGCGAACGCTACATCCTTATTCATTACTAAATACAATACTTCCTTTTTATATATCCATCAAATGTGCAGATGTTTCAAAGAGATTGCACAACTGAATGATTCGTCAGAGACTCAAGCTTCCAATCTAAGAAATGAAATGAATAATACAACTGGTTATAGACTGCAAATAAATTTGAGCATGGGCCACCATTTTATAAAAATATTCAAAATTGTGATTGCAACAAAGAAAATTCCAGTTAGTATGTTAGTTCTCACCCCATTAAAGGTCTTTTAAAATAATCTAGTTCTATAATATGCAGTATTGACCTAAATAAACTGTTATAATTTTATAATAAGCTATTTTTACCTAACATGAAAAGGGCAGAGTTATCAGTTAAAAAAGACATATCTAAATTACACTGGATATAACATTTGAAATTTTAACATTTCAATAAATGGGAAAATGAAATGAAACCTATGCTCCTACCTAATGTTTGTCTTAAAGAAAATTATCATAGAAATTTGCATTAGAATATTTACGCACATAGCTGACGTTAGCAATGTTAATAATATTGTAACGTAAGTACGGGTTCGTAATGCATTGAATGCATACACAACCGATGAAAGCTTGATGAAATTTTATTAATAAACCCCTTACCATTCTGGAACTTTTCACAGAAAACTACTCGTACAGCTCTTTTAAAGTATGACAGGACACAGTCAGTCGTTACCACTTCAGACTACTAAAAACGTTGAAAACAAGACAGTGTAAAGCAGATCAAAAAGCAAAAAACCCGTACGGTGATTTTTCAATAATCTGAAGTCAATGCTCTGAACTAAACTGAAAACTGATGTCCATATACAACTCATTCTCATATATAAATTTCCCTCGTCTGCCGAGAAATTTCCAGTACCTTCGATTTCTCAAAATTTTTGGAAGGAATACACAGTCGGACGAGTTACAGTTACATAGGGATCGAAACAAACGTTGCCAAATGAACGCCATTTTGGCGACTTCTGGCAATTTCTCGCCAAATTTGGCGTTACAAATTAATTGCCATAGCCATCGTCAGATTGCTGCTATCATGCCAATTTGGTAAGAGGGACATTTACCGCCTTGTAACCCTATTTTTCCGATGATGCTTCGCATTTTTAGGCCTTTCATGTTACATTATACAAGATACAGTAGAACTCCAATTATCGGAATCAATGCGAACTGGCTCCTATTCGGATAATCAAAAATTCGAAAAATTGGATTTTTCCAGAAGAAAAGTCTACGTACACTTTAATTAATTACTGTACGTTGAAAATTGGAGGAAAAAAAACTATTTTTTAAGAAAAAGAGGTTTCAATTAATTAAAATGAAAAAGGCAACACTTTTACATACATGTTATATAACGTACTGTACAGTACTTACAATTGCTGAAAGTCATTGCTTACTGAATATCTCGGTCAAAGTAGGCTGTTTGACTGTGTTCACCCATTTTCGGGCAGCCAAGTCAAAGAAAGTCTATGACAATGAGAAGTTGCATGTGGTCACACTCGAGCTGACACTCCATCCACTTCAACGCAGTTCCAAGGCTGTCAAACGCTTCACTAGTTGATGGTCCAGTGTCTGCTTCAACTTCGACATTAGGGTCATCATCTTCCTCAACATTTCTTCTCTCACACTCTCAATGAGTTCATCATCATTTAGAATTTGAAACTCAGAGTCACACACCATCCATTCTGCTGTATCCTCAGCACTAACTTCTGAACATCCAGGTATTTTAAAACGAATATTTCTTAATTCCTCAACTGACACATCATCCTCGTCTTCTCCTGTCTCTTCCTTTTCCTTTTCTTGAGCTTTTTTTCCTTTTTCTCCTTTTCCTTCTATTCTTCAGCTGATTCTGAAAAATTCTGAAAGCGATTCGGATAGTCGGAGTTCGGATAATTGGAGTTGTACTATACTACAATTCACGTATAATTTCACTAATATTATTTCCCTGTATACGAAATTCGTAACAGTTAATCTTTAGCAATACTCATGATTAATTCACAGTAATTCGGTTAGTTTTGAACTTATAAGTCTCCTCCCTTTTTAATAAAGGCGAGCACTAATTTAATTGAGAAAAGTAGTTTTATAATTGACATTTATTTCTCCGTTTGATCTTCATAAAATTTTAAGTTTCACATATTTTTATTAAAACGTATTGTGCGATTAAAATTATTATTAAAAGAAATATAATCTGAAAATCGAATCTTATTTATTTTTTAGTAAATTTAAGCTATAGATTAAACTTTATATATTTAGTCCTTATCTATTTGAAACATCCTGCATATCTATATTCTTAGAAATGCTTCTAAGGGGGAAAAATTATCTTATCGTTCTTGAAATAAATATATTTGCTGTACTTAATTTTAAAAAAAATATATAAAATACATTTGAAAAAGTTACAGTAATCATGCTTCATGAAGTTTTAGTTTTTTGTACATATCTCGTAGCAGTTCAATGAAATTCTGATTGGGAAATGTTGGAATACAATGATGATACATTTTGGACCACCGTTATTTATTAATTTTTATAGTGTATACTTATTTTTCCATATGATATACCTCATAATTTTTTACCGCAAAGTTATTTTGCATATAATTTATATAATAGTATTTATTAATTGAGAGTTTTCTGTGGACGATATGTTTTCAATGCTGTATTTTTGCATGACTGTGCTGATAAGAGAAAAACAATTTTCCCGTTTTTTTTTTTTTTTTTTCCTTCCATTGTGTTCACCAACAGTCTTAGAGGATCTGCGTGAATGTGAATGTAATGTGGGTAAAATTAAATAAAAGCCTCTAAATTGAGGTTTCTAGTTTAATTAGTTTGTTGTTGTTATATGTTAGAATTTATAAGCTACTCACACTGCCATGAGAAGATTTATGTTTGAATTGTATTCCGTTGTAATCGAAGAAATGTTTATATTCTAATAAATTACTTTGTTTGTTTTAGAGTTTGTTGCTATGTCTGGGAATTTTGTTATCCTTAGTGTCAGTAACACAGTTATAACACAAACTGCTGAATTGTTATATTTAGCTAGATAGTGAAAAAAAAAAAAAAAAAAACGGTTAATTTTGAATTTAGCAGCAAGTACTCCAAAAACTGAAACATGAAACTTACCGGTACATTATTCAGATTTATCCTACAGACGATAGAAGGCAACACGTATTAAGATCACCCACAATTTGTTCGAGGGACGTTCAATAACTTGTAGGTCTAAGATTGATGTTACACTTAAGGGATAATAAAACGTCGTGAAATCATACAGTAATGTCCGTTAATGTTAAAAATATCAAACATAATTCGGTTACTTTCTTTCTTTCTTTTCACTGACAGCGAGGCAGTCAATCCACTGGGGTTCAGTTAGCATTAAGTTAAGTTAAGCATATCGGCCATATATCCCCGCTGACGGAATTAACTTGGTCTACATAACACACTTTGGTGCATATTGTGCTCAAGACGAGTGCTGGGGGGCTGCAAACAAATGCTGGGTGAACCAGTGGTACAATGATGGAAGAAGGGTGAGGAGAACAATTTCACTTTCACATTTACAGAGTCATAGATAGATGGTTGCAACTTAAGTGCTGTCAATAGGTATCCACAACGTGAACAATAAATGAGTGTCGTGGATAGTCAAATACAGGTACAACTGGGTTATAATCAGCTGAAAAATGCATTATTTATGAATATGAGCAATTAACAGAGTGACTGATAAAACAGTAAAAATAATACATAAAGTAAGGCAAAATACATAATTCAAGGCTCACAATTCAAGGAAATAAATGCAAACAAAAAACGCTAACTTAAAATAACTACACGTACAGAAGATACGGGGGCTGTGCTGGTGACGAGAATGGCAGCTTAAAATGACTCCAGCCTGTATGAGATATTACGTGCATATGCGTTTCAATGCACAGCGATTTTCCGAAGTAGCTTCCGCCCATGCATGGATATGGCCCGCTACTGGCTGTCTAAGATGATGTTCTGCAATCTCTCTGCAAACGAACTCATAGTGGTCCGAATCTCCTGCCATCCCGCATGAGCACTGGTAATTTTCGCGTCGTCTAAGCGATGTAGTCATGAAGGAACTATGCCCTGTTAGAAACTGGGTAAAGTGAGGTGAGCCAGTTCTTTGAAGCCGACAGACTTTTAGGAAAAATCTGTAAACTCTTCTACCAGTAGTCTCTGTCTCCCACAGAAGTTGCCAATGCTTCAATAATTCTCTCTCGAGCTCGGCTTTTAAGAACGAGCTCGGGGAGGCACATCAAGAGTGCGAATGGGGGGGGTCAGTTGCTGTTCATTTGGTTGTCGCATCTGCAATTTCCTTACCCATTATTCCGGTGTGGTCAGGTACCCATTGGAGTTTAGACCTATGGTATTTTGGTGTATTTGTTAAGAGTTTTTGTATGGCCCTGACGAGTTAATTTTTTGCTGCATATGCCTTGGATTGCCTGAAGGCTAGAGGCTGATTCTGAATAAATACTGGAATAATTATTTTCCAGTGCATGGACAAGTGCAGTCTCAGTTCAGCCTGAAAAACTGAGTTGTGGTGACACAGCTTTCGTTCGCATGACTGAATTGTTTGACAAAATAAGGTATAACACCAATCAATACTCATGAAAAACACTATGCAATGCAAAGTAATACAGCTCTTACGCCACCATTAAATAGTGGACTTCCATGTACAGACAAGGGAGTGCGTCACTCAGCGATGATCAGTGACGATCCCAGACCAGGCAACAGTGTGAGTATGACTGAAATGAGAGAAATATGAGAAATATGTGATCTTTCCCGTTATAAGACAATACACGTTAAACAGTTTTCTGCAGTTACTTTGCCAGTTTGATGCTTCTGGCAAGGAAACATACTTTTGTCGCCAACTCATTCTGATTGTTGTAAAATAGTATTTCTAAGCATAAGAGCAACAGGGATTGGACAAAAGTACGGATATACCTCGTAAAATGCATGTTTGAAACGAAATGTTTATTCTTGCAAAAGCTGTTGTCGGCGCTGATGTGTTTGCTCACTTAAGGCCACACGTACAACATCCTCAATACGTTGCAAGTGTCATTCGTTATCGAGACAGTATTCTGTGCAGTTGTGAGTGCATCATGTCAGAGCTAAATGAATTCGAACTTGGGCAAATTCTTGCGGCTCGTATGGTCCCCAACGGTGATGCCGTAACCAAGACAGCTGTTTTAGTTTGTGTTTGGTGTTTCAAGAAACGCAGTATTTTAGATTATTTAGATATTTATTAGTGTAATATAGTAAGTTTTTTATCTTATAATACTAACTGGTGAATCCGTAACTAAATAAAAATTACTAATTAAAATTAAACTAACTAGCAAAACCTAAAGTAAACATAGAAAATATAAGAACTACCCAATGCAGCATTTATTTGTGATCGTATTTGTGTGGAAGAACTTTTGCATTGTGATTTTTCCTTAATTTCCGGGGCCATGCTCAGATAAACATCGGACAAATGATATATACAATACACAAGTGTAAACATAATATAAATTTCAAATTAATAAGAAATTTTATTAAGTATCAAAGGATTATATAGTTAATTTCACATTTTTTCTTATAAATTACCTATCTTTTTTATATTTAATTTAATTTAAATTTTTGGTACCAAATTTAAAATGTGACATACTTAGTTACTACTTAACACGAGAGCTATTAAGGAAATTGAAGAAAGGAATAATGCACATTTTTTTCATTTGTTTTAGAATGAGTTTAACATCAGAACAAAATATAATTCTACAAAACATTGCACTCTTAAATAGATAGAGCTTTCAGCCTAAATTTATGTTTCCGGAGTAAGGATAGAGGAGCAAGACGGAATTTCCAAAATGGAGCAATTAATGGAGCAATTAAAGTCTATTACAGATTTGAATTCCTAAATTACTATTCATCCTAATTTAATTGCAGTCTACTAATTAAAGAAAATGTCCTGCTATCACACAAAAGAGACAAAGCTGTGACTTATCTCATTTGCTGGAAATCTTGATGAGGAAAGAATCCATTATTCTTAGGCGCCACCATGAGACTCTTGGCTAGACCTAAATAAAGTATCACGTGGCCGCTCCGCATCGGAAGTCGAACAAAGGAATTAAGCAAGTCCTCTTTTCTTATCGAGGTCCCCACCAATATGTCGGTAATCCGGAAACTAACGTGCAGTCGATGTAAATCAGCTACAATATCTAGCGGCTGCTAGCTACTACCACCTCAAGGCTTGCATGCTTGGAAATACAACCCGTAAGTCATCGGGGAATACAGACCCATAATCTTTTCCAATGAATGACTACAGCGGCCTACTGCAGGGAAAAGTAAACTCCAGTCTTAACGACTTCTAATGGCTAGATTTTCCAGGAAAAAAATAGAAGTTCATCAAGGAGAAGAACAAAATTTTTAGGAGGTCTCCAAAGAATCTCAACATCCAGACAAGGCCAAGTAGTCCACCGTCCCCAGTCGCGGAATAATAGTTAACTCCTGACGAAGAGTTTAACGCAGTCGAGATCCAAGCAAATTCAGTTCCCCGAACTGCCAGTCTGTCTAACGGAAAGAGAGCATAATTGCCCCCTTTTTGACAACTGAAAGAAGAAAACTGCTTCATCTCAAGACAGCACAGCATAAAGTGTTTAGATACTTTTAAAATTCGTTCGTTATTTCTGTTGATTCTATTCTCCGAACTTCCAGTGAAACGCGCGGTCGGGTAGCATAATTGTCGCTCCCCGTCTTAACTACTGCTAGAAGAAAAAAAACCACTTCACCTAAGCTAGCACAGCACCAAAGTGACCCGTACCCAAAAATCCTCCCTCACTTCTCACAAAAACACAGGTTACCACAAAACTAGACTTTCGACCCCTTTTTAGAGATCAATTTCCATTTTTTCCGTTACAGCCGTAAACGTCAAGAGAAAACAATGCAGAGAAAAAAAAAAAAAAAAATCGCAGCTCTAAAATATTGTGGTCGAAAATAAAGCGGTTCAAAAACTTCGCAGTTTAAAAATATTGTCGTTGAAAATATCGTGGTAAAAAGTAAGTACCTAAATCATCGCATACATCGTTGTTCAAATTGCATAGTGACATAATGAATTGACTTTCGTTCTAACAATCGACATCCAAAATGATGGCATTACCATGAAATGTTACGAAACTTTTGTATAAACGGAAAACAAACAATATCAGATTAAAAAGTAAGAAAATAATTGAATTAACTAAGTAATTTTTATAAAGAGAACCGCATGCAGTATTTTATTCCTTTTCTAGCATTTTTAGACTGTATTTTTTCTGAAAGGATCGGTAACTTTAGAAAATTATTATAAACTTAATTTATTATGGTCTTTTGTTAATACTACATAAATTTAAAAATTCTAAATCTTTAAAGCTGAGAATTTTCTACTCATTTTAATTTTAAATGCTAAGTCTCTGTTCTTTATTCCAGCAAAAATTCATTAGTTAGTTCAACTATATGAAATAAGAAGTAAAAGAATCCCTCTTTCTTCCTGCACTCTATATTTATACGAAAAAGCATTAAACTTCAAAACCTGAACAAATCAGGCGATATGTCATGCGAGTTTGTAGTACTTTATTTTTTATCACGATATTTTCGATGACGATGTTTTTAAACAGCGAAGTTCTTGAACCGTTTTATATTCGACCACGATATTTTCTACCACGATGTTTTCTCCCACGATGTTTTTGTACCACGAAGTTTTCTACTTGCGTTATTTTCGCCGAGACGTTTGGTCCGCGATGTTTCTGCCGCGATTTTTTCGGCGGACACCATTTTTTCACCCATAATAAAAAAAACAGCCCAATTGCGCACGCGCAACTATTCAAAACCCGGAGCCAAACTGGACACTTAGATCGCCAAAGCAGTGACCTTTCCTCATATGTGAAACGTTAACCCCCCTAAATTTATCACGTACCCACTTTCAATCAAGAC